TAAGGACTGATAAGCTGTAATACAAATATTTTTTTTTTCTTGGGGTTAGGTAAATTCTCAGTTTTCCCCCTTGACAGGAATTGGCAGGAACAGAGCTTGGCCTGTACACGTGATGAACAATACATATACAAGAGACTCCAGGTCTGGAACAACACAGGTTGTTTAAATATCTTACTTCAGAGGACTAAGATGTAAAGAATCTATAAGTACATGTGTTCCAGCTGTCACATCGATGACATATTCTTGGCCGGGGTGATGACACTTTTTCATAAATAAATAGAACGCATGTTGTTTAACTCTTTCTCCTCCACAGTTCAGCTCTATGCTCTGCACCAAACTGCTGCCAGGACTGAAATGACAAAGTGACTTTTAGGGCTCATTCAGACAGGTGCTGACACCCTCTTGGTTTATGTGGCTTGGATTGCAAGGTGCTGCGTGTGCTGGCAGTCCATGAATGTTTATTGGGACACAGTGGCTGCATGGGTATCGGTGTTCAGCCCAATCTGACATCCATGTGGGTGCACAGCTGTCAAATTAGAACGAGTTCATGGACGAGTTCCAACACGCAGTACCTTGCAGCCTCAAACAAGGCGCTCATTCATGGACTACAGGTGTCACTGCCCATCTGAATGAGGTTTTAGATATTTGCCAAGTGCAGAAAAAGACATGTGCTGCTAAGATTTAGGCTCTATGCACACTATCATTTTTTTCTTTTTTTTTAACCACCTCCCGCCCGCCATATAGTAATATGACGGACGCAAGGTGGTTCTCTCGTTCTGGGAGGACGTCATATGACGTCCTCACATTCTAACTACACATGTGCGGCTCCCGGAGCACAGCGGATCACCAATCCACAGTAAGAGACGGAGATGTCGGCTCGGTCATGTGATCAGCTGTGTCCAATCACAGCTGATCACATGTAAACAGTTAAATGCCGGTTACACTGTTCAACAAATTTTTATTTTTTGCCAGTTTTGGAAACAAAAGGATCCATTTCTTAATGAATTTCACATTCTGAGTTCAAATATAAACAATGAAATTTGTCAATTGGCTCTAGTTTTTCTGTAAACGGAAAGTTTTCTACTATAGGTGTAATGACTACATAATGCACAATAATTATATAGATAGATGTCTTTCCACAAATATAAAGCAAGTGATATTGACTACATAACAAAGCCTAAATGGCATAATATATTGCATAGGATTACCAAGAAAAATTATAGCCATAAGCTAAGTTGAATCATTTTAATACTTAGGATTCTCACTAGTTTTGTCTTCAGTTTGTGTCGGTTTTGCTTCTCTTGGCTTTTCTCTTGTATTCGAGGAAAGGGCTCTCTCTTACAACTGCACGTGACTACACGCTTCAGGTTCTTCCTCACTTGACTCAACCACGAAGGATTCTGGTGCTTTAGGAATTGGTAGCCCCTCTCCATGAGGAAGTGGACGTATTGCCGATGGAATATTTGGATAGTGCACAGATAACTTTTTCTTCTTATTTAGCCCTTTTACAATTGGAGGCACCATACAAAAGTAACAATTACTAACATGATCTGTTGGCTCTCTCCAAATCATTGGCACAGCAAAAGGCATAGATGCCTTTTTTCCATTCAACCCATTGCTCCAGTGCCGTCCCACAAGAATTGCAGCATATATGTGGTGCCCAGCTCTTGTCCTGGTCTCCTATCTTGCAGCCAAAATACAAGTTGTAGGCTTTCTTAATCATTCCTGTTATCCTCCTTTTTTGTGAGATAAAAGTTATTTCACCGCAGATATAGCAGAAATTATCTGCTTTATTCACACAAGTTCGAGGCATTACTGAGTAGCCTATATAAGCATAAAACGAAATGTAAAGACGCTGTCGAACTACAATCAGCTACAGATACTGCAGCTTTTATGCAGTAAAGTGATGCAATTAAAGGCTAATATTGCATCATCTCAGTATACATGCAATTTTCTATTGGTCACCAGTATCAATTGCGCAATATGCAGCTGAAGTTGCATCATAATTTGTAATGGCTTACGTCATTAGATGGGTGAATATATCATGGAAACTAGAGCCAATCAACATTTTTTAGGGTCATTTTCATTTTTCAGCACCCCAAAATTATGTAAGATTAGCTAATTTTATGCCCAAAACTTTTTACCTGTTGAACAGTGTTATCGGCATTTCTCTCCCCACGAGCTGTCACGCTGACAGCTCGTGAGGAGAGGAGAGCCGGTAATTGGCATTTTCGCGGAGGGGACATGTACACAGAACATCAGAGCACTGATGATCAGTGTGCCCTTATGATCTGTGTAGCCCCAGCAGTGCCACCTGTCAGTGTCCATCAGCGCCAGCTCTCAGTGCTCATTCATGCCACCTGCCAGTGCCCATCAATGCCACATATCAGTGCCCATCTGAGCTGCCTTTCAGTGCCAGTCAGTGCCACCTATCAATGCCAGTCAGTGCTCCAATCAGTGCCACCTATCAGTGCAAGTCAGTGCCGCCTATCAGTGCTGCCTTTCAGTGCCCATCAGTGATGCCTGTCAATGCTCATCAGTGCCACCTACCAGTGCCTCCTCATCAGTGCCACCTATCAGTGTCCATCAGTGCAGCCTATCAGTGCCCATCACTGCAGCCTCATTAGTGCACATCAGTGAAGGAGAAAAATCACTTATTTACAAAATTTTATAACAAAACCTAAGAAAAAACATTTTTTTTTTTTTTTCAAAATTTTCAGTGGTTTTTGGTTTGTTTAAGAAAAAATAAAAAATCCAGAGGTGATTAAATACCACCAAAATAAAGCTCTATCTGTCACAAAAAATTATAAAAATTTCATATGGGTACAGTGTTGCATGACCGCGCAATTGTCATTCAAATTGCAACAGCACTGAAAGCTGGAAATTGGCCTGGGCAGGAAGGAGGTATAAGTGCCCTGAAGGCTAGTGGTTAAAGCTAAAAAAAAAATAAAATTATATACAGTTGCAAGAAAAAGTATGTGAACCCCTTGGGATTACGTGGAGTTTTGCATGAATTGGGCATAAAATGTGCTCTGAACGTCATCTAAGTCACAACAATAGAAGAACACAGTCTGCTGAACATAATACTACACAAACATTAGATGTTGCCATGGTTTAATTGCACATAACATGTAAACATTCACAGTGCAGGGAGGAAAAAGTATGTGAGGCCCTAGCTTAATGACTTCTCCCAGAGCTAATTGGAGCCAGGAGTGAGCCAACCTTGACTCCAATCAGTGTGATGATATTGGATGTGTTGCTGACAGCTGTCCTGCCCTTAAAAAACACACACCTGTTTTGGGTTTACTGGTTTCAAGAAGCACTGTCTGATGTGAACCATGCCTCGCAGAAAAGAGCTCCCAGAGGACCTACGTTCAAGAATTTTTGACTTGCATGAAGCTGGAAAGGGTTACAAAAGTATCTCCAAAAGCCTTGATGTTCATGTGTCCACGGTAAGACAGACTGTCTACAAATGGAGAAAGTTTAGCACTGTTGCTACTCTCCCTAGGCGTGGTCGTCCTGTAAAAATGACTGCAAGAGCACAGCGCAGAATGCTGCATGAGGTAAAGAAGATTCCCAGAGTGTCATCTAAAGACCTACAGAAATCTCTGGCACATGCTAACATTTTTGTTGACACATCTACAATAAGGAAAACATTAAACAAGAACGGAGTACATGGGAGGACACCACGGAGGAAGCCATTGCTGTCCAAAAAGAATATTGCAGCACGTTTGAAGTTTGCGAAAGAGCACCTGGATGTTCCACAGCACTACTGGCAAAATATACTGTGGACAGATGAAACCGAGATTGAGTTGTTTGGGAAGAACACACAACACTATGTGTGGAGAAAAAAAGGGCACAGCACACCAACATCAAAACCTCATCCCCACTGTAAAACATGGCGGAGGGAGCATCATGGTTTGGGGCTGCTTTCCTGCCTCAGGGCCTGGACGGATTGTTGTCATTGATGGGAAAATGAATTCCAGAGTTTATCAAGACATTTTGCAGGAAAATGTACGACCATCTGTCCGCCAACTGAAGCTCCGCAGAGGATGGGTGATGCAACAGGACAATGACCCGAAGCATACAAGTATTTCAACAAAACAATGGCTGCAACAGCACAGAATACGCCTTCTGGAGTGGCCCAGTCAGAGTCCTGACCTCAACCCGATTGAAATGCTGTGGCATGACCTTAAGAGAGCGATTCATACCAGACATCCCAAGAATATTGCTACACTGAAACAGTTTTGTGAAGAGGAGTGGTCCAAAATTACTCCAGATCGTTGCGCAGGTCTGATCTGCAACTACAGGAAACGCTTGGTTGAGGTTATTGCTGCCAAAGGAGGGTCAACCAGGTATTAAGTCCAAAGGTTCACATACTTTTTCCTCCCTGCACTGTGAATGTTTACATGTTATGTGCAATTAAAAACAATGGCAACATCTAATGTTTGTGTAGTATTATGTTCAGCAGACTGTGTCCTTCTATTGTTGTGACTTAGATGACGTTCAGAGCACATTTAATGCCCAATTCATGCATAAACTCCACGTAATCCCAAGGGGTTCACATACTTTTTCTTGCAACTGTATATATATATGGATATTCTGCCATGATCTAGAGTACCCAGTGATCCGTTTATCATATGGGGCCATTTATTGTTTCTTCTGTTATGTTCTGTATCGCATCGTTGAATTCCTTGACTACTAAACAAAGAATAAAAAACAAAAAGTGTTGGATAAAAAACGCTGGTAATAGGGACTGATGTGAATGTACAATATATATATGTAAAGCACTGCGTAAATTGATGGTGCAGAAGAAACAATAAATGGCCCCATATGATAAACGGATCACTGGGTACTCTAGATCATGGCAGAATATCCATATATATATACAGTTGCAAGAAGTACCTGAAATAAATAAATAAATAGCGTGTTTTAATAGTGTTAGCATTTTATTAGCGTTTTTACAGTACATGTAAGGAAAAAAGAAAGCTAGAAAAAAAGCAGTTAGGAGCATTTTAGTAGCGTTCAGTAGCGTTTTTTTCTGCCGGAAAAACGCACACAGAAACTTATTGGATAGAACTGTGCCCCATTGTTGGTGTCATTGGGAGAAATTATACCCCATCATTGGTGTCAATGGGAGGAATTGCGCCCCATCATTGGTGTCATTGGGAGGAATTGGTCCCAATTGTTGGTGTCATTGGATAGAACTGTGCCCTTTCATTGGTGTCAGTGGAAGGAATTATGCCCCATTGTTGGTGTCAGTGGATGAAGTAGTGCTCCAAGGGGCAGATAAAAGCAAGCAAAGGGCCTCATCTGGTCCCCAGGCCACAGTTTGGAGACCACTGCTCTAAAGCAACAAAGGATATAATTCCACTTTATGTACTCCACATACCTTTACAAACTGAAATATTACGTTCCATAGTTGGCGTCATTGGGAGGAATTGTGCCCCATCATTGGTGTCATTGGGAGGAATTGTGCCCCATCATTAGTGTCATTGGGAGGAATTGGGCCCAATTGTTGGTGTCATTGGATAGAACTGTGCCCCACAGTTGGTTTCATTGGGAGAAATTGCGCCCCATCATTGGTGTCATTGGGAAGAATTGTGCCCCATCATTGGTGTCATTGGGAAGAATTGTGCCCCATCATTGGTGTCATTGGGAGGAGCTGTGCCCTTTCATTGGTGTCAGTGGAGGGAATTATGCCCCATTGTTAGTGTCAGTGGATATATTAGTGCTCCAAGGGCCAGATAAAAGCAAGCAAGGGGCAGCATCTGATCCCCGGGCTACAGTTTGGAGACCACTGCTATAAAGCAACAAAGGATATAAATCCACTTTATGTGCTCCACATACCTTTTACAAACTGAAATATTACCTTGTAAAAGAAAGTGTCATCATCACTGTGCCATACATAGCATGTGCATAGAGAAGAGCTATGGGAGGGGCTCCAGAAGATCCACCCATTTCAGGCAGTACAGTAGGGGGTGGAGACAAGACCAGTCACCCTGCACAAGGAGAGAGAGCAGCAGTGAGCGGTCTTTTTATTACAGGAAGGAAAGTTTCACACTGGATTACTGCACAGATCTGGAAGAAATACACAAAGCACACCAAGACTCAAATACATAAGACAAATGTATTTAGCCAATATTTGGCTATCCCGGAGTTCAGCTTTAGGTTAATAAATGATCTCTGTTAGTACAACATGTTGAGCTACAGAGATTCTTTGTTAAACCCCTGACAACACAGATCCTCCTTTCTGAGGACATGACACTGGGACATACAGCAGCCACAGGGTTAAATGACAGTTCAACGATACTACACTGGTCTTACCTGTCACTTGTCTGAATTAATCCTACGTAAACAGAGAAAAAACATATTGTTGTTGTCAAGGTTATACGGCTTCAAACTACATTTTTTCTATTATATATATATATATATACACATCAGTGCATGTTCCAAAGTGAGAAATTCCAGAAAATAATGAATTGATGTGACCGGGGTTACTGTCGAAACTGCCTGAATAAGATGGTGTGTATGATTGAGGGAGGGTTACAGTGAAGGTTTCCATTCCCCAAGTAAATAAACACAGTAGTACCGCTACAAGCTTTTCCTTCAAACATACGGCTGTGAAAATTGTGGTGTTCTTCATGGTTTTCTATGGACACATACAGTAGATGCAGCTGCTGCAGTAAATGTGCAATGGGTTCAGATCCATTTAAAAAAAAAAAAAAATCTGCACCTGAGGTCCTGGTATGGAGCACATTTTACCCTGTACACATGAAAATGTTTGTGCTAATGTTTACACACATAAAACGCAAATGTAGAATATTGGGGTACATGACCCGTCTGTGTCCTAGCATCAGGAGGATGTTAGGCAGCTTCCTGCAGAAGTCGCCTGCATCCTAGCAACTGAAGGATGCTAGTAGGCAGAACCTGCCTGTGACCTAGCAACGGAGGATACTAGGCAGAAATAGTCGCCTTCTTTTTAGCAACAGAAGGAGCTCGCAATGGAGGTAGCTAGGTTGCATCCTTGAGAGGCCACTTGTACCCTAGCAATGGATGACATGAGGTGGCCTTATTGAGAAGCCACCTGCATTCTACCAATGGAGGGTGCTAGGTGGCATCCTTGAGAAGTCACCTGCTTCTTAGCAATGGAGGGAACTTCCTTGAGCTGCCTGCATCCTAGCAATAAAGGGCACACAACAGCATAGTTGAGAAGCCACCTGCATCCTAGCAATGGAGGACCCCTGGCAGCTTCCTTGAGAGGCCATAGACATCCTAGCAACAGAGAGCAGAAGGTGGATTCCTTTAGAAGCCACCTGCATCCTAGCAATAGAGGACCCCTGGCAGCTTTCTTGAGAGGCCATATACATCCTAGCAACAAAGAGCAGAAGGTGGATTCCTTTAGAAGCCACCTGCATCCTAGCAACAGAGGGCACTAAGTGGTATTCTTGAGAAGCCACCGACAGCCTAGCAATGGAAGCCACCAGGTGGTTTTCTCGAGAAGCTTGGAGGACATTCAACATTATCTAGCCTTTTCCTCCACAACCTGACTGTCCCTTTCATTCATTGGATTTCAGTTCTTTTAATCATGGAAGCACATAGGGTGGTCTGTATGCAAGTGCAGTCTACCTAGGAATGTGCACTCATCCACGGACCTGTGGCTGTATTCATACAGCTGCTGCAACCTCATAGAGTGACAGACGGCTACAACCGCACACACTGCTCATTCACACTGTATGGGCCAGAAACACCATGTGGATGAGCCCTTAATGTTTTTTTTTTTTAAAATTTTTTAAATTTCAAAATATTTTTCACAATGCTGTTGGGGAGCTTGGGTGAAATAGCAGGGGTCTAAACAGACCCCTGACATCTCACCTCTGAGACAGAGAAAGGAATTGAGGACACAAATTCTTAAATTCCTTTCTCTGCAGCCTCAGCTGCACTGAAGTTGAATGAACAGGAGACAGAGGCTCCTGTTCATTCACAAACTGAAGCATTTTGGGGGGGGGGGGGCACACACAGCAGGGGGAATCAGATGTGGGCAGGACAGGGAGGGGGATCAGTGTGGTGGAGGGAGAGCAATTGCAGTAATGATGCCCTGTGCGTCTCTTCCTGCAGCAGGGGGAATCAGTTGTGGGCAGGACAGGGAGAGGGATCGGCACGGTGGAGGGAAGGGGGGAGCAATTACAGGAATGATGCCCTGTGCGTCTCTTCCTGCAGCAGCTGAAAGGGAGAGGGATCGGCAAGAGGGAGAGGGGGGAGAAACCTGCTTTCAGTTGCTGCAGGGAGAGACACACAGGTCATCATTCCTGCAATTGCTGTTACACCCCCACCCCTTCCTTCCCGGCTGTACCGATCCCCCTTCCCCATCCTGCTTACATCCATTTCCCCCTGCTGTTCAGACCTCCCTGTGTGCCCGAGCCCCCTGCAGGAAGACAGGTGGTACTATTTTATTGGCAGCCCTAGCTATGTCTATTGTCAAATTTTTTTAATTGGGGTTTATATAACGTTTTTCACACAACTTTCACCAAGAATTCACACATCTTTCAAATTTAGCCTAGTTTTAAACAATACCGAAATCCTGGGTAATAATTTTGTGACTCTTGCCTGAAAACATTTATAAACACTGTAAGGCCTGATTCACACCTATGCATTTTTCCTCCTGATACACTTTACATTAAAATCAAGTGGAGCGTATCCAAACACATGTGGCTGGACATTTAAGAGGAACTTTACTAAAAAAAAGTCCTGCTAGATCACTTCAGTCCCCTTTTACAGGTATAGCCATGTAAAACATTAAAAATAAGTGCCTATACTGTTTAAAAAAATCCAGTAATACACTGTCTCACCCTGCTCTGCACATGCGCAGTTGCTGTCTATTTGTGAGCACTGTGCTGAAATTGTAGAGGCCGATCTGTAGACAACCTAAAGATTTACTGCTGCTCAGGGCTCTGGGCTTCTGCAAAATGGCAATCTCTGGCAAGAATAAACAAAAACAATGCTGGAGGAAATTTACAGCACACGCTAATTTTGGTAGCATAATTATTCATGTGAAATGTATGTTTTTTGCTAAAGAACATTATTTTTTATCAAGTTGTTATGGGTAAAGTTCAGCTTTAATGTGTTCATAGTTGTAATGTAGTTGTATTGAAATGACAATGCATGTGATTTCAATAGAAAACTCATCAAGCAAAAAAAAAAAAAACAAAGGTGTGAGTTCAGCCTATATCACATAGAGGGCTTATACAGACATGTTACCAGTTGCTGTATACAGTATGTACAGATGGTATTGCACACACCATCACGTATTAGAAGTAACAGGCTCTACCTGTGTAATATAATCTATTACTGAACATGTCACCACCCCAGGTATGGTAAGGTATAGATCCTTCCACCCTAGCAACTGGCTCCAAATGCTGTTTCCCTTCTGTCTCTAGCAAAACAATGCCTTCTTATGTTTACCCCAAGTCACTACACGTTCAAAAATGACAATAAAAAATACTCTCTTAATTTGGATTCATGGCAGGTTGAGACTGATCAACTGAGTTCATAAGAAGTTTACTCCGCTCCACTCTTCCATAAGCCAGTTAAGCGAAACACACGCTCAAGGGGCATTGCATGCAATGTTGCAGGCACCATGTAATGGCTTTTGCTGTGCATTGATCGCATCAAGGTAAAACAAAGCATCCCACGTTTGCCCTGAGACCACATTTTATGTACATTATAATGCCAAAAGTATTGGGATGCCTGTATTTGCACACACATGAACTTTAATGGCATCCCAGTCTTAGTCCGTAGGGTTCAATATTGAGTTGGCCCCGCCCTTTGCAGCTATAGCAACTTCAACTCTTCTGGGAAGGCCGTCCACAAGGTTTAGGAGGGTGTCTATGGGAAGGTTTGACCATTCTTCCAGAAGCACATTTTATTACCCAAAAATATATCCAAACACTCACATGTATAAGGTGCCTGACCGCACCAAGTTTATAAAGCCTCTATTATTGCTCTGCAATCTGGAGAAACTGTGCCGTGTGGAGTTAGCTATAATAACACTGCAGCAGTGTGCCCTCCAATATAATCATCCTTCCATATGAAAAATAACAAACCGCAGGTGCCGTAATGCTCACCGGCTTAAATAGCAGTGTGTCTTCCGGTATTAATGAATATGGGTCAGTGTGCACTTCCGCTGTAGTAATCGCCGGCTCCATATTGCGTCGTGACGTCATCCAAAGCTCCTCTCCGACGCATTTCGTCACTCGTCATGTGACTTTCTCAAGGGGAACAGTGCCAATCATATAACTTGGTATTCGTCAGTGTACCAAGACATTTTGGACAATTTCATGCTCTCACCTTTGTGGGAACGATTTGGGGATGGCTCTAACATGTTCCAACATGACTGCGCACCAGTGTACAAAGCAAGGCCCATAAAGACACGGATAAGTGAGTTTAGGGTGGAGGAACTTGACTGGCCTGCACAGAGTCCTGACCTCAACCCGATAGAACACCTTTGGGATGAATTAGAGCGGAGACGGCAAGCCAGGCCTTCTCATCTGACATCAGTGCCTGACCTCACAAATGTGCTTCTGGAAGAATGGTCAAACATTCCCATAGACACCCTCCTAAACCTTGTGGATGGCCTTCCCAGAAGAGTTGAAGCTGTTATAGCTGCAAATGGTGGGCCAACTCAATATTGAACACTAC